CCCATCTTTTTTTTCTTGCTCCTTTACCTAGACATAACCTTCACTAGCTCACTGGTTCCAGAATTGTAGGTATGTCTTTCAAACCAAAACCACAAGCCAAGTACATGGGGTTGTTGTCGCTCAAGTTATGTGAGAAATCTTAGGCATGGAATGTCAATCAGTCTGGGTGAATCAAGAAGGGTAAACAAAAAAGTAAGAACAAATAAACATTCCTCCTCTTCATCACTTATATAGTATAATCTATGAACCACATTTTCTATAGTCTTCTACCTCTATATTTTCTTGTTCATTAATAGTCAATTTTTTCCTTTTTTAGGTCGATTTAAGCTTGCAATTTATGAGATTTTGTTTTTATGTGTTGAATTCAAGCAATCATTATGTGCAGGTACAATTGATTTTTGCCTCTTTTGGGTCTTTGTTTTATTGTTTCTTGTTTAAGAACTTGAATTGCAACTACACTCACATGTTGATTTTATGATTTTCTCTACGATCTCACTAGTGTAATTACACAATAAATAGTCAACCACTTGATCTTTATTTTGTTTGCATAATTAGTGGACTGATGAACCTGCTAATGAATCTGCATATGAAATTATTGTTAAGTAATTGTATTGCAAGTCAACATTGATGCAAATGCGCCAGTAAGGCCATTGGAAAATTGTCCAACTCTCTTGCTCTTTAGATGTAGGGGTTGTCTACGATACTAAAAAAATAATAATAATTAGTATAGTACCGACATTTATCACTGTTGTAGATGTTTTTTCATTGTTGTTAGTACAATAGTGGTAAAAACACCCACAAAATTTTAAATCACCAATAAAAAGTGATAATTTTTTTTTGTACCAAATAAAAGTGATAAAAATATTTACCACAAACGTAGTAAATCACCCACAAAAATAGTAGAATTTGGAGGTATGGTATCGAATAGATATAATGTGAGTTTTCATTTTAATATACTTTTGGTTTTTTGTACATTTTATTTTCGTTACTAAAATTTTGAGCAAGTTAAAAAAGCTTAATTATTTGATCTTTGCTAACAAAGATGTAGTTTAATAGAACTAGCTCAAAAGTTAGTGGTTTAATTTAGGAACTTCTCAAGAATTGACCTGCCAAAAAAAATCTCAAAAATTGATTAAATTAGGTCCAAATTGTAAGTTACATTTCTTGTAGGTTACAAGAGCAAACTCGCTTTGTAAAAGGCCACATCTCCATTTGGTTGTAGTAAATAGACATATACGATGTATAAAATTTGTGGTGTGTGATTTTGGTCCATGCACTTCAGAAATTCTCAAACTAAGTGACAATTCTAGTATAAAAACAGACACTACAAAAATTTGTGATTTCTTTAATTATTTTCACATGATCTTTTTTTTTTTGGATAATATAATTGACATAGAATGTATATGAAAATATTACAAGATAAGATGAATTAAGATGGTTTAAACATGTCTGACAAACTATTGGTTGCACCTCCAAAACGCGTGACAGGATATAGATTGAAGTAAATAAGGTTGACAGAAGACCATGAAGGACATGAAAAAAAATATCAGGAAAAGATATTAGCTTATGTTCTAGATGGTTATTCATTAGATTCTTCAGTTTCTTTGTATATTGAAGATTGCTTTGTACATATGAGAAGATAAGCTTGTGAATTAATATGGTTCCTGATAAAAATAAAATAAAATAAAATGGTTGAATAAATTGTTAATTTCATAGTGCAATACAATTAGTCTTCTTTTTGGTTTTGCTAGTAGGATAATAGTTTGGGCAACTTTCAATTCCCTAATTCTCAAGAATTAGCTTTGATAAGCTTAAATATGCTCATACCAATGATTTTCAAATGATAAAAAGTCATTTAGCTTAACATTTTTCAAAAAAGCAATTTAACTTACGTGTGACAAAATTACCAAATAAACTATCTTTTCATTTATGCATTCAATTTATTGTGTTGCAGTTGACAAAAGTTCAAAACATGGTTGTGGCTTCTAAGTGTCTAATGGGCAAAAGTTGCATCAAATTTATCGTTGGTCTCAAAATTTCAATGTTGATTTACCAAAATTTAGTGTTAATTTGATTCAATTCAATGTTAATTTGATTTAGTCACGTTCTTTCATCTTTCATTTCGTTTGTTAGCCACTAGACACCATAGTTAGCTGCAAGTTAAGCAACATGTTGCCAACAAAAAATGAAAGAAAAGATATAAAAGAGATTAACATTTTTGAAATGCATGTCCTGTTTCTTGATTTGATTTTAACTGCCAATGACAACTGCATATTTGGTGCTTAGACAAAAGAATTTTTTTTCTTTGAATTTTGCCAAATTGTTTATGTTTTGATAAAAGTGAAAGTTTTAGCTCCATAGTTGCACAAGGAGGAGTTAATTTTATTTCAATTATATTCTTTTTTTTTTGGTTGGCGGGGGTGGGTTTCGAATGCTAAAGTCTATATTCTTCAAGTTTTTGGTTTGTTTTCATCGAAATTTTTCCTGCATTTATTTTCATCCAAGTTTGAAACTCATGTCCTGTGTATTGTCCTACAAGTTGTGTTCTCTTCGAAGTTTACTGAATTGTATCCATTTGCTTAATTGATTTTTACTTTTTTTAGCTTTTGTATTTTTCTTTTGCCATAATGGGCAGGACCCAGAACAAGAGCAACAACATGCTTTTTTTGGAACTTTTGACTATGTAGCTCAGTGTATGGCATGCCAAATAATACACGCATATTAATGCATGCATTGTTTTGAAAAATGGACCAATGCTTGAGCATGACAAGTCGTTGGAGTCATTCATGTGTGTTACCCCCACACAAAATTCACTTTTGAGTTCATTATCTTTATGTTTAGCATTATGGTTTTGAGTTTGAATAGATTAACTAATAAAAACCCACACAAATGTGTTTTTTTGACTTAAAAGAAAGTTTGTTGCATTTTCTATTGCGGAGCCTTTATGTTTTGTCCGGGTACAATGAGGGATTGTTTTTAGTTCCCACATTGCATTGTGCTTGAGCTTGACTTCAAAAAAGTGCGTTAGTGTATGCCATGAGATAACGTGTTTGACAATAGTAATAATTCTGTTATGGTGTCATGGGAACATTAATATTTATTGTCATAATCATGATCCACATTTTTTTTAATTGATATCATTTTTTTTATTGATAATTTGAGTTACAGAATTTGACTATATTTTGCTTTTTTCAGATTGAATGTTTTGTGCTATAATCACCACTTACGACGTGTAGCAACAATATATAAGCAAGGTGTTCTTCGTTGGAGAGTTGTCGCTACCACTAATCATCTAATTCATTGTGCTCATTCTGAAATTCTTTATTACATTTTGTCTCTCTTTTTGTTTCAACATAAAACATAATTTTACTTTTTTTTCTTACTATTGTGGTTGATTGTAAATCAAGCTTTGTTTTGTGGTGGGCTGTTAGGCTTGGTCTTAACTTATTTATTTTATTTAATTAGGAAAATTTGAAGGCCGTCCCTTTTGTAAACTTATTTGGACTTAAGTCCACTCAAAAAACAAGTTTAAAAATAAGTTAATTTTGATTCTCATTGTCCAAAATACCCCTATTAATTATATTTAATTAAATCAAATTTAAAAATTAACAATTCATAAATTTTAGAAGTTTGACTAACATTAAAATTTTATCTCTCTTGTATATATATATATATATATATATATAGAACTATTTTATCTCTCTCTCTCACACACGCGCGCGCACACATACGCACATGTAAGATAAAATAGTATTTAAAAAAAAATGGTAACATTCAAACACAAAAAATAGTAACGTTAAATATTAATATCTAAAATAATAACATTCAATATTAATATTTTAAAAAAAAATTAAAATAGTAACATTCAATATTAACATTTCCGAAAAATAGTAACATTCAATATTAATAATAACAAAAAAAAATAGTAACATGCTCACCAAAAAAATAGTAACATGGAATATTGAACAATACCTCCGGCGTTGAGCCTTGTTTCTTTCACAAAGCCGCTCCATCTTTTAGTCAATATAGAGCTTATACTATTCCAATACTAATACCTACAAGTCCCTTAAATAGGACTCAACTCTAATTTTCACATAAAAAAATAGTAACAAAAATCAAGATGCGGGAAAATTCACAAAATATCCTACCAAATTTGAATCTTAAAATAGAAAGCCAAAAATGTATATTACACAGAGGAAGTATCAACAAAAACTTCATTTAGCACATCATCCTTTTCATCCTTATGAAACTTGTTGGAAAAATCCCGTCTCTCAAGCTTTGAATGAGCAGTAATGAATATCAACTTCTGAGCCTTCTCCATTCCTGCCCTTGAATGTGCATGGCCACTGACCTATCTCAACAAAGACCACTTGCATGGCCATTTACAAATCGGAGTAGCAGCAGCAGTGAATGTAAGCTTGCCATTGTTATGGGAGCTTCAATATTTTGAGGCCTGCTGTTACCATGAATAACTCTAGAGAGAGAGAGAGAGAGAGCCAGATTTGTGCGTTTGAGAGAGAGAAAGACGGATAATATATACTTTGAATTTCAATTTCAAATTATATGATCTCAATTGACCATGAATTAAGGAATAACAGTTTTCTAATTAGGAAACTGATTTAACTTTGAAGACTACTTTCAATGTCGGGTATTTTCGAGTTTCAAAAAAATTGTGGACTTAATTATTTCTTAGTAAGATTAAAAATGAACTTATCCTAAACAAATTTTCTTGACGGACTAAACTTATTATAAGTCTCTTTAGGAGAACTAAACTCATTATAAGTCCCTTTAGGAGAATTCAATTCCAATTTTTACTTTAAATTAATTGACAATTTATTTTGTTTTAGAGCGTTTTCAAGTGCGGATCCATCGGTGGTAAACTTATCTATTAACAAGCTTATTTGAGCCCAAACCCGTAGGCCCATTGCTTCCCCATAGGCCCAACCCATTTAGTTTTCTATAAACGGTTCTCAGACCCTGCTGCCCCATTGTCTTCCAGAATGGCTTCAAAGATTTTGTGTCAATTAGGAAAGCTGCACAAAATTGGTACTGGCGCCCTCAGTCACCAACGCAGAGACCTTACAGCTAATTCTCTCGTAGAACCCTTCATTCTCCGAGCTTCCGGAACCCAAATATTACTTCATGCAAGACCTTACTCGGATATTCCTCAACCACTTAACATTGATCCTGATTCACCTAATAACGTTGCCATCGAAAGTGAAGCAAAGAATATGAATAGGGTTTCGAGTTCTTCAATGTCGTCATCTTTAAACGAAGCTGAACTAGCGAAATTTGCTGCCATTGCTGAAACCTGGTAAGTATAGGCTTTTCTTTTGTAATTTTTGTAGGTACGAGTCGGGTGTTGCTCCCTTTTGTATATGTTCGTTGGTTGATCAATAAGAATTACTAGCCGTTACCCTGAATTTAAATTTACTTGGACAGTTTTGGAGGCCTGGTTCTCCTCGATTAAACCAGGAGTATATTTGGTGGTAATAGTACTTAAATGGACAGCATTTACAATGGTTCGTTATCATTGCTTGAGTTGAATGAAGGTTTTTACTCCGAAACCATCAAGTTTGTTATATGCTGACAATCTTTTGAGCCTATGACCTCAAAGTAATATTAGAAAACCATTCTTATACAATTGCTTCATAACACCCCTGAAGATTTTGTGAAAGAGTTGGTACCATTGTCTACGTTTAGTTGATTCCTTGGAAAAATGTTTAATGGACCTCATATATGAAGCCAATTCAGTGATAAAACATGTGGCCCAGTTAAGACAATTAATTCTTTGCTGAGTTTTAGTTTATGGAAGTATTAATACTTACATGTTGGGTGAATATTTTGAGCCCTTTTCTGGAGAATTTTTATTATGATTTCTTTAATTTTGTAGCTATAAAAGTTGCTAACTATTTTAGGCAGAAAATGAGTCCTCCATATCACTAAGCTGGTCTAGAAATTAATTCATGCTATTGCACTGATTCTTGCTTGGAAATCTTTGGTGCACCTTATGTATGTGGCCCGGGGGTGACCGTTAAACCATATGGCCCTGTCAAAACCATATATTCTTGGTGATTTGTTTCAAAGAAAATTAAAATTTGAAAATCTCTTTGGAGATGCATGCATGCATGCCCACGGATGTCTGTTATTAATTAAAAAAGAATTGTTTAGTCCATATTAGCTTAGAACTGGCTTACGTTTTAGTTCGCACCATGAAATATGTTCTACTTTCTCCGTATTTTATTTTTTCCTCTCTAGTTGGTCCTTTACTAATCATGTTAAGAGCAATGCGTCTCTTTTTATTTTGATTAGAAATGTATATTGCAAGATTATTGTATTAGAGTATGATATTTTGTTGTTTCTTGTGAGGCAAGTATGATGTATTATCCCTATTTCCACTTCTTGTTCCCTACAATGGTGTTTGATTGGATAGCTATGATGATTGTGAGAGCTTATGAAATTCATTTTTGATGATTTCAATGATGAAGATTTTGGATACATTCATGGCGATATACTTATCCTCTTGGATACAATCACATTGAAGTACTTATCTTCAATAGTATTGTCAAGAATAATGAAACTTTGAGTTGAGCTTTTCCCAACAAACGGGAATGGGCAAGCACTTGTAGCATGGCCCTTTGGATCACCTAATGGAACTTGTCAAACTGCAAAATTTGAATAGTGTACATCAGCATGGGCCCTTGATCAAATGCCATTTGGTAGTCTAATTGTCTTAGATTTTGTTTCTTTTGAATTCGAGGTAGAACAAAAGGTTTGAGAATTTTAATTCATTAAAATTATGAGTCCATTGCTTCCCTCCCATCCCCACCCCAATATACCATCGTGAATGGGCAATAGTAGACATGTCATGTAAGTTTGACATACATGGGTGACCTTTGAAGTTGCAACAGTTACCATATCATGCAAAATGAAGCGTATGGGTAGCCTTTGAAGTTGCTGATGTGAGGCTGTCCTTATGTTTGTTTTTCACTTCTTGTTCCTCGTTTTTTGGGCTTGAGTTAATGCCTGAACATAAGTTCTAATTTCCTTTTAGAGATCCTCTTCTCCTTTTTCTAAGGAGCTTTATGATGACTTACATGAGCATTTATATCAAAGTTAGAGATAAAGCAATTGTTGAGAATGCTCATGCTCAACTCTTTCGGTTGTTCATTGCTTTGCCTCGACCCCACAAAATGTGTGTGTGGGAGAGAGAGAGAGAGAGAGAGATTTTATCTCATACTCTATAAATCATGATACTCCTTTATATATGGTGGCATCTTCTCTCATATTCATTAAAAGTTATGGTACTTTGTTATTATTAGAGAAATTGTTGGAGTTCGTACTTGTTCATTGCCAACATTGGTTTTGATATACATATGAAGGTAGATGGAAGTGGTGTTTCTACACACAGGATAATTGCCCCTGATACAGATTTGTAACTTCAATGAAAATGGAATGCGTTCTCATTTTCATGTCGTGATCAGGTGGGATGCTGAAGGACCATTTAAGCCATTGCATGTGATGAATCCTACGAGACTTGCTTTCATTAGGTCGACTCTTTGCCGACATTTCAGGTAGATGGGCTAGTTCTTTACTCAGTTTTCCTTAATATTTCTGGTTGTCATTGTTTCTTCCATTTTATGCATCTTGACGGTAACTATTGGTTAACTGAACTTCATGGAAAAGTGAGAAATATTGTACAGAAGATTTTTTAGAAAAGGAACAAATACTAAGGATTATCGTGTTGCGAAGGATGAAACACTATAGTCGGTGCGTGGAGAATGAAATTCCGGTTGGAAAACTATATCACATTTGTGAATGGAAAAATATTATAGGTTTTTCTTCACATTTCTGCCTATGTTTTATGCAGACTTGACAGGTCCTAATTGTTAAAAAAATGACACATGACTTCTCTGTAGGGATGCATCATATGCATTGTCTGCCAACCCTCTCTGATATACATTATATTTGTGCCCCTCTTTGTCATAGGAGTTTGAGTTCTAAAAGATGGGGTATGATGTCAGCCATATGGTATTATGAATTATTTTTGTGATCAATAAAAATGCGCCACATTGAGCTTGATTGGCTATTATGTTTGCATATTGAACTTCAACGCCCAATCGCCCATAGATATAGAAAGATTGAATTGCCATCAGGTGCTCTCTCTGCCTCCCTCCTTTTTCGTTATTCAGGAAAACAATCTTGATGGCTCTTTTAGCTCTACTTGTCATGTTTCCAAAGCCCCCCGATATTAGCCAATGCTTTAGTGTATGATTAATCACTTAAATGTAGAAGACTGAAATATGAAATTTTTTAAGGAATATTGAAGTGTTTTTAAGTGAGAGCTAGATTGAATCGTCAATATTTAGACTAACCTTCATTTGAATCAGGTTTTGCCTTTTGGTCTATAAATTTATGATTATGAAAAACATGTGTGAGGTTGCTGCATTTTGCCTTCACGGTTCTCGAGGCTTGAGGGTTTAATTAATCTTCAAAGGAAATGGAAATCATGTGCAAGTTTGTATGCTTGTGTAATTTGAGGCTCGAGGGGTGTCATGCTTGAGTTTCATGCTTTGAGGTACTGGGTGCTAGATGATTTACGTGGTATGAGGTATAGTCTTGATTGTTAATATTTATCAAAGAAAGAGGAAAGAATAGAAATACAAAGATTCTCATTAAGATAAACCAAGTTTGTATTACAAAATGTTAAACTTGGAAAACTACATAATAATAGTCTTATATACTAGGGCAAAACATAATAGTATAGATGTTTAATATGCCTTTGCTACTAATGTACTAGATTACTCTAACTTCCCTCTTCAAACTCATGGTGTGGTAGCATCAAACATCAAGAGTTTGCCAAGAAGGAAACGGAAACGCGCGATGGTGTGAGATTTCGTAAAAATTTTTTCAACTGCGTAGTAGAATGAAGGGGAGAGAGATTGTGCCTAGTTGATGATGATGGCGCACAAAGTGATAATGAATCTTAATATGTTTTATGTGCTCATGAAATACTGAATTGTGGGCAATCTGAATAGCACTGGTGTTATCGTAATGTAGAGGAGTAGGAGTAGACAAGGAATTGCTAAGATTAGTAAGTAGCCAACTCAATCAAACTATCTCTGGTGGTGGATGCTATAGCACGATACTCAGCTTCAGCGAATGATCAAGTCACAACAGTTTATTTCTTGTTTTTTTAATAAGAGAATCACCAAGAAATGGACAAAAATTAGTGGTGGACTTGCGATCTATTGAGTTACTAGTCTAGTCTGAATCATAGTAAACTCGGAGTTCGAGATGATGAGAAAGAAAATAATAAACTCTGATGTAACGCACCCAGCAGATACCAAAGAATTTGAAGTACAATGGACTAATGAAGAGCGGAAGAGTGGTAGGGGCAGCAACAAATTGACTAACCATGTGAAAAACATAAGTGATATATGGACAAGTGTAACATGTACTAGACTCCCAACAATAGTACAATATAACGTAGGATCAGGTGGGAGAGAACTATCAGAAGAAGTATAACGAATGTTGAGCTATAAGGGTGTGTCATCTGTTTGATTATCCGATAAGCAAGCTTGCAGAATAACCTTTGATGCAAACTTTAACTGAGAAAGAAGATAACCTTTGGGAAGCAACCTCAATCCCTAAGAAATACCAAAGTAGACCCAAATCTTTCATTAGAAAATAATCCTATAATTGAGTTTTCAGCAACTGAATTTCAACATTGTCGTCATCAATAATAATCATATCATCCACTTAAAGTAATAGAAGAATAAAACCTGAAGTAGTGGATTGTAAGAAGAAAACTGAATCATGATCACTAGCACAGAAACTTAAAGTCACATATGATTGAAGAAAATTTTATAGACCATGCCCTTGGGGTTTGTTTAAGGCCATATATAGCTTTGCATACACGACTAGGACTATAATACAACCCAGAGGAGAAGTTATATAAACCTCTACAGATAAATCACCATGGAGAAAATTGTGAGATAAGTTCCACTGATGAATAGCTGCCATAACAATTACTGAGTGAACCATCGTAGTCAAGCCCATACGTTTGAGAATATTCCTTGGCTACTAATTTAGTCTTATACCTTTTCACAGAACTGTCAGATTGTGTTTTGATTTTGTAAGTCCACTTGCAATCAATTGTGCGTTTACTGGGAGGTAAAGACACCAACTCGTAAGCTCGAATCTTATGTAAAGTAGAAAGCTCCTCATCCATAGTCTGTTGTCAAAGATGATCAAGTATAGCCTCCTTACTGGAGGTTGGTTCAAACATAGTGTATAAAAGTCAGGAAAGAATAAAAATCAAAAGAGTAACAAGAGTTGGAAAAACCAAACCTATCGAGTGCTCTGAGGGTTAGGAGGAGGGTGATCCTCGATGCTAGAGTCTGATTGGGGGTCAGAAGATGCAGACGCAGGCACAAAATCTGTAGAGGAGACGTAAGGAGTCATGCAAATTAGAGATGTCAATCGTGTTATGTCGTGTTTGTGTGACCCGCATGTCGTGTTATTTGTGTTGTGTCATTGTTAATCGTGTCGTGTTCATGATAAGACCCACAAAAAAAAATCTATTTAGTGTATTATAAGTATTAAACATTAGTCTAGATTATTTATTATGCGTATTTAATAATTGTATCAATTTTATAATTGTTCATGTCAGGTTTGTAGCAACGGATCAGAGTTGAGACTCCTATTGCGAACATAAGTATGCATAATGGGGTGCAGATAACAGACAAATCAGACAAAGAAGAAGAGGAGGTCAGATCAGATACAATCATATCACCAACATGTGTCAGAGGAAACATTAGATAGAAATTGATCAATATAGATGAGATCAGATTTATGAAGAGATGAAGAATCAGATGAAATAGAGAAAAAATGAATATGCTCCATAAGACAACAAGACTAGAAACATGGTTTTTTGTGTACTAGGATCATAACAACGATATCCTTTTTGTCCCTCACTGTATCTAAGAAAAACACATAAAGCAGTGCAAGCAGAGAGTTTGGTACAATTAACACTAGGTAGCAAAATAAAACAGGTACATCCAAACACACAGAAGGAGAAATAATCAAGTGTTTTACTAAATAATTTTTCAACGGGTGAAACACCAAAATTGAAGATTGTGCTTTACCCTAAAAAGGGCTAGGAACATTGGCTAACAATAACAGAGAACGAGCGGTCTCAATAATGTGACGATGTTTCTGCTCTGCTACTCCATTCCAAGGTGTCAGTACAAGAAGATTGATAAATAGTACCATTAGATTTTAACTAATCACGAAAAGAATTAAAGGAATATTCTCCTCTTTGATCACATTGGAATCATTTGATAATAGAATAGTGTTGGGTACGCACCATAACACGCAAAGTAGTGAAGATAGAAAAGAATTTAGACCTACGTTTCATTATATAGAGCCAACAATATCTGTGTGATCATCAATAAAAGAGACATAATATTTAGACCCCCTTTAGTAGCCAAATATCAAAATGTACAAGATCAAAAGGTGCAAAAGAGCTAGAATTACTTTTATTAAAAGGTAATACGGGTAATTTTGTCAATTTCCATCTATTACAATCTGAATTATCATGGTACTCTAAACTACCCAAACTACCATTAGAAGCTAAAAATTTTAAACAAGAATGAGAAATATGACCCAGGTGAGAATGTCATAAATAGAAATTAGATGACTTTAAACTCAATTGAAAAGAAGATAAATCAATAATTGATGTAGCAATTTTGGGAAGATGAAGCACGTCCAACACATATAGCCCTCCATTTTTATGGCCTGTCCTAATCAATTTTTTGGACTGTGGATCTTACACAAAACAGGCAGTAGAGGAAAAATGAACTAAAAATTTTGAATCAGACAACTGATTAATTGAGATTAAATTCAAAGTAAGCGGAAGAATATAGTAGACATCAAGAAGTGTAAGATAAGAAGACACAACTGTTCCAACACCAGCCAAAGACATTTAGGTGCCATTGGCTGTAAGGATAGATATAAAGGGAGGGGAAACAATAGAAGTAAATAAGGAAGAATTACTAGTTATGTGATGGATGACTCATGTGTCAAAGATCTAGGCAGTTCGAGATATACTTAAAGGACCCGAAGTGAATGAACTTGTTAAGGGAGTAATTGATAGGACACTTGGTTGATGAAGGGATAAAAGCTTCTGCAACTGATCATTGATCATAGTCAGGTTGGGATCTAATGGGAGTGACTCATCTACTTGTGATGTAGTTGTTGTTGTTGACAGTCTTTGGGCGTAAAAGCCAGACTAAGTGGTGTCTGTGTATTCTTGCTCACCAATTTAGGGTACTGTGCCTTCCAATGACCCCTTCTCATGACAAAAGTTACACTCATCGGAAGCGGCTCTATCTCGACACTTATTCTGTGAATTAGAAGGTCTATTTGGAGGAACAACCAATACAGCCTGAATAGGCACTGAAATAAGTCCCTTTCCAGAAAGGGTCTTAAGATGCACATCCTCAACTAAGCACTCATTAATCACTGTACCAACTGAGGGAAGGGGGTGACGATGAAGAATAGAACCATGAAGC